CGTGCTCCAACACGGATACTCGCAAGCACTCAAGAAGGTGCAGGAGCTGAACCTTCCTGGGTTCGATCTGGAAAAATTCTAGAACTACAACCTCCACGCCCTGGAGCAAACCGACCGGTTAGTGGAAGGCTACTTCCGGGGGCGCAAGCTTGTTGACCTGGTTGCCGACCTCTCTTTGCCGGTTAGTACCCCCGAGCAGGAGGAAGAGGAAGGAGAGAACTAGATAGGCTAGAAATTAGCATAAGCTCCGAACTGGCCAGGTCCAGTTCGTTTTTTGTACGTGCTTTGCTCCTTGTATGAACTTTCTCGTAATAGAATGAAGCCTTTCGTTTGCTCAATACTTAGCCAAATTTTTTCTTCTTCAATCTTCTTGTCATACATCCTTATGTGAACTCGCTTCTAATTTACGCAAAATAATTAAACCTTAACCGATTACATTGGCCCTAAAAAGTCTGAATACACGAATGACCCGTCTTGCGTTAACCTATCAGAACGCATGTCCTGCACACACTAAACCTTAACGAAAGATCCTTAAATTGGAATTATGCCAAGTACGGGGACTTCTTCCCCCTCGAGGTGTGCTAATTTGCAATATCCCGCTCGATCTGCTTCCTTTACCACGTAGGATCCTTCCTAGTTCGGACTCAGCTTATTCGTACTCAAGGCCCTACTTACAGCATTCTTTTGTAAGACCAGGTCTCCTGGTTTGAAAAAGAGGTGTCTTACTCTAGCATTGTAGTGCCGTGCGGCCTGTCCTTTGTACTTAGCCATTCGTATAGCTGCTTCTTCTCTTCTCTACTCGAGCAAATCCAGGTTAAGCCGCATCTCATCCTCCTTATTTCGAGCTATGAATTTCTGCACCCTGCTTGAGGGTACGCCGACCTCTGCCGGAATTACCGCTTCTGCCCCATAAGCTAATACAAATGGAGTCTTTAGGGTGGCCGTTTGGGGTGTAGTTCGATAAGCCCAGAGTATGGTGGGCAGTTCATCCATCCACCTCGTTCGAGCCAACCCTATTCGAGTTTTCAAGCGGTACAGGATAGTCCGGTTGACATTTTCTACCTGTCCATTAGCTTGAGGGTGGCCCACCGAGGTAAGGTGTTGTCGAATTCTGAGCTCAGCGCACCATTCTTGGAAAGAACTGTTGGCAAATTGTGGCCCGTTGTCAGAGATCAGAGCCCGGGATATGCCGAACCGACAGACTATACTCTTCTAGAGAAACTTCTGGACTGATCAGCTGCTGATAGTGTTGAGCGGCTCGACTTTTACCCACTTAGTGAAGTAGTCTATGACGACGACTAAAAACTCATATCTTCCCGGAGCCCAAAGAAACGGATCGAGCAAGTCAATTCCCCACTGAAAAAATGGCCATGGGCTTTAAAGAGGGACCATCTCTTGGGTTGAGGCATGGTGAATTGGCGCATGCAGTTATCATGACCTGCACTTAGCCACCAGGTCGGACGAGTCTCGGAAGATGGTAGGTCAATAGTACCCAGATAACATGCTCTTTTTGGCTAGAGCTCGTGGTCCAACGTGACCCCCACATATGCCCTCATATAGTTCACGTAAGATGTAGCTCCCCTCCTCAGGTGTCACACACTTCAGTTACGGTTGCAAATAGGACTTTCTGTACAATACTCCGTCTATGAGCACAAATCTCTGTGACTTGAGGAGTACTTTCTGTGCTTTCACCTTCTTTGAGGGTAGCTCTCTGTGGGCTAGGTACCGCACCAGAGAGTCCATTCATAAGCTCGTTACTTGAATTACTACGGCGTCTAGCTGTTCATACGCCCGGCATTTGACGACCTCAACCAACACTTCCTTATTCAGTATGCCAAACGAGGTAGAGGCTAGCTTAGATAGGGTGTCAGCTCTTTTATTCCTACTCCGCGGAACCTGCTTGAGCTTGTAATACCTGAACTGGCTCTTTAGTTTGTGTGCCTTAGCAACATACTTCCTCAATGGTCCTTCATTGACATCGTAATTCCCTAACACTTGATTCACTATCAGCTGTGAGTCACTGTAGGCACTTAGTGACTTAGCCCCTAATTTTCGTGCCATCTCCATCCCTGCGATCAGAGTTTCATACTCAGATTCATTATTGGAGGCTCTAAAATCGAACCTCAAGACGTAAGCCAACTCTTCTCCTGCAGGACTAATTAGGAGGAGCCCTGCTCCACACCCTTCTTTGCTTGAAACTCTGTCAACATACAGTGTCCAGGCCTGTTCGACAGCCTCCTTAGTCTCTTTGACTGGGGCTGGTCCAGCGGCCTTCCCAATTTGTCTGGCTTTCGCTCGCACAAGAGCTTCTCCAGCCTGTTTGACCTCAGCTCGTACAAGAGCTTCTCCAATCTGGGAGGTCTCAACTCACGCAGGAGCTTCTCCGGCCTGTTTGACCTCAGCTCGTACAAGAGTTTCTCCGATCTAGGGGGCCTTAACTCGCGCAGGAGCTTCTCCGGCCTGGGAGGCCTTAGCTCGCGCAAGAGCTTCTCCGGCCTGTTAGGACTCCGGCCACCCAGAGGAAACACCCTTCGCTATGAAGTCAGCCAGTGCTTGGGCCTTGATGGCCGTCCGGAGTTGGTAATCCAGGTTGTATTTGGACAGCTCAACAGCCCACTTGACCATTCTCCCAAACATGTCCGGTTTAAACAAAATCTGTTTCAAGGGCTGGTCGGTCACTACCATAATGGAATGAGTTTGAAAGTATGACCGGAGTTTCCGTACCGCGTGAACTAGCGTCAGGACGTAGCGCTCAATTGGGGGATACCAAGTCTCCGCTCCCTGCAGGGCATGGCTGATGTAGTATATAAGTCTCTGGACCTTGTCTTTTTCTCGAACCAGCACTGCGCTGACGGCCTCCTCTCCCACAGCTAGGTAGATGAATAGGACCTCGCCCTGTTTAGGAGAAGTCCAGGTAGGCAACTTGGTAAGGTGACCATTCAGTTCGTCAAACGCTTTCTGGCATTCTGAGATCCATTCAAACTGGGGACCTCTTCTCAGAGCCTTAAAGAAAGGTGAACCCCGAACCGCCGATTTGGAGAGGAACCTGGTCAAAGCGGCCATCCTCCCAGCCAGGTGTTGTACTTCCTTAATATTGCGGGGAGGAGTCATGTCCATGATAGCCTTAACCTTGTCAGGGTTAGCTCTTACCCCTTCTTTGGATATCATATATTCCAGAAACTTTCCTGATCTGACCCCAAAAGTGCATTTCTTTGGATTCAATCGCATGCGTGAGTTTCGAAGAACGTCAAAGACCTCTGTAAGGTCTGCAATGAACTGTTCTTGACTACGATTTTTCACCAACATATCGTCTACGTCGACCTTCATATTCCGGTCTATCTGGTCTTTGAACAACTTGTTCACCAACCTTTGATATGTCACGTCCGCATTTTTCAGTCCAAACGACATGGTGACATAACAATAGGTACTACACTCCGTGATGAACGAGGTCTTCTCCTGATCTTCCTCGTTCATAACTATTTGGTGATATCCCTTGAATACATCCAGGAAACAGAAAATGTCATACCCAGTGGTCGAGTCCAGCAGTAGGTCGATTCGGGGGAGAGGGTAGCAGTCCTTCGGACAAGATTTGTTCAGGTCGGTGAAATCTACGCACATTCTCCAAGCCTTGTCGTCATTCTTAACCAACACAAGGTTGGCCAGCCAGGTCGGATAAAGACCTCCTTGACAATTTTGGCTTCTAGTAGCTTGCCGACCTCATCCCTAACAACCTCATTCCGTTCAGGCGCAAAATTCCTCTTCTTCTGCTTCACAGGCTGAACGTTGGGGTCTACATGCAACTTATACACAGCTAGCTCGGATAGAATCCTGAGCATGTCATCCGCACTTCAGGCGAAAATCTCTGCATATTCTTCCAGAAGAGCTTCCAGTGCCCTCCGGGTCAGCTCGCTCAGGCCCGAGCCGGGTTTGACGAAGCGATCAGGTTTTTCCCTGCTGACTGGCAGTTCGAGCAGCCCTTCATCCGTCTCCAATCGCTCCCTCTTTTCCACCGGCTCTCAAGGCTTTAAGCAAGTTGTTTGAACTACCAACTTTTCCTTGCCTTTGAGAGTTGCGATATAGCACGCCCGAACTATCTCTGGATCCCCAACACTTAGGCTACCCCTGCAGGCGTAGGGAATTTCATGCTTAGATGCAAAGTTGAACAAATAGCTCGGAGTGCGTTCAAGGTTGACGGTCCCAAAATCATGTTGTACGACGATGGCTCCTTCATTATCGCAAAATTCACGAGACAGTTCGGCACTTTGGTGGCACCCCCACCGTGACCATGAGGGTTACCATCCCCTCGGGTCTTACCGGCGGTCCTGCGAAGCCGATTAGGGGAGTTCGAACTGGAATGAGCTGTTTATCCTCCAATTGCAATTCTTTGAAGGTCTTGTAGTATAATACGTCAATGGCACTCCCGTTGTTTATGTATACCTTCTTAATTTTGTAGTTGCATGTTATAACTTCTATAGTGATGGCCTCGTGGTTATTGGAAGCAAGTCGCACTGCATCTTCAGGTCCGTAGATGACACTACAAGAAAACTGACTTTTCACGACGCCAGAAATATGCTGCAAAAAGTCCAAAAATCGCCGCGAAAACCTTTTTGCGGCACAAATGCGACGGAATTAAATTGTGTCACAAAAGTAGCCGTTACAAAAGAAAATGACACAATTTTTCAACATGTCGCATGCATTTGCATCACTCTACTTGCGGCACAAAAAATGCGCTACAAAATGTCCACAATGTCATGCGACAAAAACTTGCGTCGCAAAAAAGTCATCAATATAAAGACCAGAAATCAAATTTTTCATGGTACAATAATTATCATGCTCAAATATCCTAAAATCGAATATTATAACAAAATATAGTTCCACAATACACTAGAATAAAGTACCATACATTGTTTTAGTCAAATTCTACAAACTTTATCATTTAATATTGTTCGCTCCAATTATAAGATGTTTCATATATTCCAAAATGTGCTTGTTTTCAAAAGTACAACACTTCATCATACATCTCTCAAAAACATCTTCATATCTCCCAATCCGCATGCTTCCAATGTACCATCAAGTCCAGGGCTGCAAAGTGTATTCTATTAGTCCCCTGCTCATATAACCCCAACCCATTAAGCATGAAGAAAACGTTAATATAACAATAGATACTGAAACGGAATTTGTAATTCAACCTTTTCACAGACACTGAAAATTAAGACCACTTCTACTACATTATGTCCCATAAATAGCTGGCTAAATCTTAACAAAAACAGCTCGTCTTCCCAATCATACAAATACTCAATGAAAAACTTGACAGAATAGAGTTATTTCCAGAAACTTTTCCAGTACCTCAAGCAAGTCGTTTGCAAGTAGTCCTGCTCCTTTTCTTCTTTGTATGATGGTTCTGGTATAACAAAAGACTAGTCAATTAAATATCAACAAGGAGCTCATGCACAAATAGTCATCAACAAGGAAGTCATGCATAATTCAATATCAACAAGGAACTCAGCAAAATTGGTCTTCTATAGAAGGACCAACTCAAAGTACACATACTATACCTCAAGAATATCAGCAATTGAAGAAACTTTTTTATTCATTTCACACTTATTTATTTCAGCATCATTTGTTCCAACTTCCTTGTACATTTCAGCATCATTTGTTCCAACTTTCCTGTTCATTCTATCACCAACCTGTTACATTATCAACAAAGTGTGAAGAAAAGAAAATCAGGCCATAGCTGCTGATATTTCAGAGAATTTGAACACAAAATCGAATTGTATGAATTAATATACAACCTCTAATGAGTTCGAAATTTGAGATTGTTTTGCTGCATTCATTTCTCTTCTTTGGAGTGATGCCAAGTCACATGTGGATGCCCTCTGGAAGAACAAAGATCAATAGTAACTAAAGCAATAAAAATGCCAAGCCAGGTGCTGTATTTATTGTTCATTGCTTTGAATGGGTTAAATCCATCCGCTGCAAGTCCAACACGAACATTGCGAGGATCACTAGCAAAGCTTGGGTGCCGGTCATTAAAATGCTTCCAAGCTAAAGAGTCTGCCGGATGCCTCAATTTACCATCCTTGATGCGCTCCTCTTCATGCCATCTCATTAATGAAGCAGTCTTTGATGACATGAACATCCTTTGGAGACGTGGTTTCAAAGGAAAATAGCGAACAAGCTTTGCTGGAACTTTGTTAGCTTGTACACTTGAATCATCGGATTGTTTTACAATTTGCTTATACCTAGGAGTTCCACACTTTCTGCAAAAGGTTTCATGTTCTGTCTCCTTCCAATAAATCAAGCAATCATTGGGGCATGCATGAATTTTATGGTAGCTAAGACCCAAGTCTTTAACAATTTTTCAAGCATCACGATAAGAGCTTGGAAATAATTCATTCTCAGGAAAAATTTCCTTGAGAAGCTCCAGTAATATTGTCATTGAGTTGTTGCTCCATCGACAAAGAGACTTGACATGCAACAACTTGATGACAAATGATAGAAGAGTAAAATTTTTACATCCAGGGTATAACTCTGTTTCGGCATTCTTCAGCAACTTAAAAAACTTATTAGTCTCTTCATCACAGGCTCCTTTAAGTTCTTCTAAATTTATGTTAGAATTCTCTTCAAGTGTTCTTCCAAGTGTTTCGTGTATCAATTCATTCATGTCATCATTTTCAATGCGCCTAAACACTCCATTGTTCATATTTTCTTGATTGAAGTCCCATGGATCTTCACCATGATAAATCCAATTTGTATAAGTGGTCAAAAACCCTTCATTGTTACATGTGCACGCACAGTTTCTTCCTTTCTTCGTTCTGAGTTTTTACATCGCCTACATGGGCAATATATTCTACTCCCAACCTCCTTCTTTTTGTAGGCAAATTTAAGGAAGTCACTCAGACACTTTTCAAAGTACGGATTATTGACTCGGTCTTCAATAAAGATCCAAGACCTATCATCCATTCTACAAGAAACAAGATTGAGAAGGCAAGAAAAAAAGACCTTATAAACAGAATTGAAAAATAGCAAATTTATTAACATGCAAGAAAAATAAAAAATAAAGTGCAGCATGTGCATCCCAGTTTGCTATGCTCATAGTGGAATGCGATGTTAACAGTTAACCCAACTTCTCAATGCCAAAAGAATGTGGTGAATTTATGTCAATATGCAAACCAGTGTTCTGTTTGCAAGAAAAAGAAACATAGATAAATCAGGGGAGCTAGATTGTCTTACAAATTCCTAATTGCAACTTGGTAGAACATTTAATTGCTAGCAAGCTACAATTGCTAGGCAGATGATGGTTATGGGCAATTCAGATAGTTAGATTGCTGTTCAACTATGTACAAGAACTTATCTACAGCAAACATAAGCTTTGATGGCCAAACGTAGAAAGAGGAACAAAAAGGAAGAAAACAACTGAAACTAACACTTCAAGAGACAGAAACAGTAAATAATATTATTTGATCATAAACTCGTAGTTGAATAACATCTTAGAGACACAGTAAATACATGGTCTCAATACTGCTTTTGAGAATTGTAACCTAACCGAACTCCAGACAAAACTAAAACTGGATAGCAAAGCAATGTCACATATGCTATCTTCACAAGCCAACACCAGAAAATGGAGCAGAGTTCTCTGAGTTTCCCAGAAAGACAGCCACCTCAACTCAACCTCTATAACTTAACTCTTACCCAATTTCCATATAATTCCCCAGCTTGTTAAACTATGCAATAAATTTTGTACTATAGAAGGCTAAATCACATTTAACTAATCTAAACTCGTCTTAATGAGTTAGAAACGTTTTCTTATCTTGACTAATAAAATGAGTTTATTTGCCTAGAAAAGAAAAACTAATCTAAACTCAAGCAATTTTGACCAAACCTCAATGAAATTACAACATTACATCCTTGAAAAGTATAAACAACTTGTTTGTCTACAATATCATTTTCATATCAGGAACATCATTTGATTCACCATGCCTCTTCGCACGTCAAACTATTATCACCACTATGCAGTATCAACGCTGAATTGGAAAAGAAAGCAGCGAGTTACCTCTTCAGCTACAGCAGTAGAAACTCTAGGCGTAGAAACCACAGGCCGACTCCAATGCCATGATTTCCTTTTAATCTGGTCCGCAAACACAAAGGAGATTGGTATTCTTACAAAAACACAACTAAATTTTACTATAAAAAATAAATCTGCCTTCATGCACATATGAATGCATATCTAAACACACATGCAAAACTTGAAGTTTAAATACCAAAGCAGAAGAAGCATCAGAAGAACAGGGGCTGTAGTGGGGCAGACTCTTCTAGTTGCCGCGAGACCTAATTTTTGAAGTCAATGACTCAAATGGTTGGGTCAATTTGTTCGAGCTTTCAGCTGTAGGAATTTCGACAACTGTGGTTGACAAAATTCAGAATCAACGGAGGACCAATTACTTTGCCCAATCAAATTAGGGTTTTGTGCCAAATCTTATTAACCGAAATTCAGAGAAGAGTGCAGGTCACAAAGACATACGAGGGAAAAAACATAGAAATCGAAAATCATATGGAAGAATTTTTACCTTTTTCTCTGTAATAGTGATGCGTAAGAGCTTTTGATTTCTGCTATATTTGAAGCAGAGATGGTGAAAAAATTGACAAACTCTTATCCGAGCTGCGTACTGCAGTGGTTTTGGATGAGCGGAAGAATTCGGTCTATGTATCTGACCTATTACAGTTTGAAGAATTCGGTCCACCAAGATAAGTTTGAAGAATTCGATCTTTGGAGAGTTAAGATCTGAATATTGTGAGGTGGGTAATATACGACGTACGGAGTTAAGATCTGAATATTGGTTCAAAAAAGGATGTTTTCTGTCTTTAGCAAGTCAAGGCTATCTTAAGCCAATCACAGAAAGTGATTACTATGTCCTCCTCACGTGGACCAGCAGCCAAATAAGCAATCACGTTCGGAGTTGGGATTACGACACTGTTGTTTGGTTCAAAATGTATTTCGATTGGTCAAAATTTATTCTTCAGTCTTTAAGCATTACACGACCCGGAACAAAAGATCAAGAAAAAGACACTTAACCTTTCCAAGTGCCCTTTTATGGGTTTTATTAAAACTATGTCGTTTTTATGTAAAAATTAGAAACCGTTGTGAAATTTGCAGCACAAATTGAAATTTGCTGCTTATTTACCGCACTTTATCCTTGTGCCACAGCAAAAGCGTTGCAAAAAGCCTGTTTTCTTGTAGTGTGATCTCCTTGTACATCTTTAGTCGTTTGCTCGAGTTTTCCTCACCAGGAGGGGGCGATTACCCCATCGAGTGACTATCTCCTCCGACCGATCCCCCCGCAATGGTGTTAATCACCCCGACTAAATTCTGCACTTCTGGTTGGGGAGTTCGGTCACGGGGGTCACGAGGTCGGTCCCGTGTGTAATTCGTGCGTTCTCGTTTATGTCCCCCTTGTTTTTGGTCAGCTCGTTCACCCTGTATGAACTGTCTCAGGTGCTCTCGTTTGATCAGCTCTTCGATGTCCTTCTTTAGGTGACGATAATTCTCAGTGTCGTGTCCCACGTCACGATGGTAGGCGCAATACAAACTTCGGTCTCGCCTGCTCCTGTTGCCGATTAGCTGGAGGGAGGCCGTGCGAGGCTTTCCTATCCATTACCGCAAGGATCCGAGCCCTGAACGCGGTGAGGGAAGTCTAGGCCCCCTATCTCTCAAAGGCCTGTTCGCGCCTGGCCAGGAGCTACTCCGGGGTTGGCGGTCGAATGTGCTTTTCTGAGCCGCACCAGGTCACGTGTTCTTTGCAATGGCGTCTTTTCTGCGTATATCTTCTCTTAGTCTTTCCTGCGCACCCTTCAGGCGATTGGCCTCCTCCGCATTAGCTTTCTCATGAACTCCGTCTAACATCTCCCAAATTGATCGGAAGGGCTTCTCGACGAACTCAATGTACAGCTTCTGCTTGTGCAATCTATTAATGAAGGCCGCCATGACCACCTTATTGTCCCGATCCCGAACTTGGAGGCACTCGTTGTTGAATCGAACCATTTACTCACGCAGTGATTCCTCGGGCATCTGCTGAACTATTATTAGGTTGCAGTGCTTTTGGAGAAGGCTCGTGACGAGACGAACTGTACTGCGAACAGTCGCGCGAGCTGGCTGAAGGATCAAATTGACCTCGGAGGCAGCCCCTGGAACCATTGTCGTGCCTTCCCCTCTAGGAACATGGGGAAGGTCTTGCATCTAACGGCGTCAGCGGCCGTTTGGAGGCGCATTTGCATCATAAACGCAAACAGATGGCCTTCCGGATCCGTAGTGACCTCGTAAGACTTCATGTTTGGTATTTTAAACTTTGCAGGCAGCGGGTAGTCCTCAATATCCGGCACGAAGAGTGAGGTGGTGTACCTGTCCGCCTCTGGATCTAGCAGTAGATCTAGTTCGTCCTGTACCAGGTACTCCTCTTTTCATGGAGAGGGCTCCCTACGCGAGAATCCTTGGTAAGGCTCGTGGTGCTCTGTCCGGGAGTTCCAATGAGAGGGCTCCAGAACTTCGACCTGTTCACGCGTGACCTCCTTCCGTGCTCGCTTCGGTCGGGGGCTAGGGCTTCCTGTT